TATTTTCACATGGACGACACGTAGACAGAATCTTCTTCTTTTTCCAGCCGTGCGCTATTTGTTATCAGCTTTATCTTCCCTGCACGAAAATAGGTGAACATGTTCAATCCATTGAGTAGTATAAAACGTTTTTTCTTATTTTAAAATTGTAATTATGTCGTAAGAGTTACGACTTTTACTTTTTTAATTAGAAACAATAGTTTATGTAATTATTGAACAACATAAATAGATTTAAATTTAATAATTTTATTTATTTATAATAATATAAATAAGTTGTTTTCCATTCTTTAGTTTCAGCGTTCTATCTTGCGTAACATGTTACGTCCATAAAGATTTACATAAAAGAGAGATGGCATCGGTTAAGATATTTTCTGAAATATTTTAATAATAAAGTACATCAAACAAGCGAATCGGACAAGCTGCCTTGCGAATAACATACTCTTTTCTTATAAATAAAGTGACCATGAAAATGCATCTCAGAATATCTCTTTTGGTTTTCTCGTCTTAATCTTCAATAGATCGTAAAGAGACTGTATTTTGAGGTACTTTGACTTTTTGATATAAATATAAATAGTATGAAAAGCGGAGAGTATGTAATATGTAATTACTTAACGCAAGATTGATAGAGATGGAAAAGATATGCAATGTGACACGTTGCAATTAAAGGTGCAAGAAGATGTATCTCGCGATTATAATGTCGACATCATTCACTTGCATATTATAATTATATTTTCTTCACTAACATTAATTTGCCCCTTGTATCTATTTCTATTTTTGTAAAAGTATCACTTTTTTTAAGAAAACTATATTAAATATAAAATTATGTCAAGACATATACATTAAATTTAAATCTGCTTAAAGGTATATCTTTATATACGCAAAATGGTATAACATATTTCTCATATATTTTGTGCGCAATTCGTACTATTATATCGCAACTGAAACGATACATAATTATCGAAATGATATAATTATCTTCGTCGAAAAAGGATTTGAATTGGAATATAACGTATCTAAATTGCAATTAATCAAACAGTCACAAATAAATAATAATTCTCTGTGACTTTGTGCTTATGCCTTCGTTATCATTCGCGATGTGATAAAGCTCTTTTCATCAATTTATGTGCTCATATCAAAACGGCCTAATAATAATATGTCAGTAACTGGCTTACATTACAGCGTACACATGCTCCACGGCAATAACCGCATTAATAATGCCACCCTCGTTGATAATAATCGTGAAATCACGTACCTTGGCAATATCGCGTCGATCGATTTCGGTTATTCGACGAGATAATACAGAACAATAACGGGGAATGACATATTCGCTATTTTCTCGCTCATCGTAAAACCGCATTAGCAGAGATCCTTTTCTTTGAATGTCGATAAAATTTTTGTGCGTACTTTATATTTAGATAAAAGAGACGGTTCGTAATTAACAAGGTCAATGTATCGATAACGTTATCATATTTTATTTTCAGACAATGAGAGTAACTATAAAATCTGAAGTGCTTGATTAGCTGAGAAATAAGATTAAGAAAAACCTCTGCATAGTTATATTGAAAGCCTCAACGCGTATAAATTGATCGATAACGACAAATTAATAAAAACGCGCGAAACTTAGCGTCATATTCTATCATTAACATTAATCTGACCTCGGGGTAATATAACTTTGGCGAACTGCATCCAAGTACGTCACGCGATCGAGAAAGTGTCGTGACAATGACAAATTAACGCGCGATGCGAATCACGGCATTCTTTGGCGAATGCATATTTAAAAGAAGTTAAAGCGCGCGCGTGCAAATCGACGTAAGTCGATCAACAACGGTCGCTACAAAGTTCCACGGCAATTACGCGCGTAAATGGCATTATCGGATGCTAACTGGCTAAAGTTTTAACTTGATTTCTTTAACGTAGGGGCGAGGAAGAAAGGCGTCTTCCTGTTGCTCCTCAAACTGCCTCTTAAACTCTTCTTAATCTCCGGAGAGTTCCCCTCCAAATAAAATGAGAATGCTAAATGTACACTGTGCACGCAGTACATTTCCCGACGAGAGAGGATGAAAAAATGAAGAAAACCGTTAAACTATATGCGACTCCGCGATGGCAAATAGCGCTGTCACATCGGTAAATGGCATAAATCAAGTTTAATCATTATTCGAAACCGCATGTCCGCGCAGCGGCCCGCGAATCCGCCTTTGATTCGACATGCCCTGTTTCCCGCTACTTCTTTTTATTACTCGTTTTTCTATATCATTTTTCATATACTTCCACCGCAAATTCGTTGCAACAAACGTGTGATCTCTGCGCGCGGCTATTGTCCGAATGCTAGTATGCATCAGAAGGCGCTTCCGGCTTCGCGTATCATTGCATTGGCGCATGTAAAATGAATTTTATGGGAGTCACGTTCATCGTCTTTGTCCCGCAAAAAGAAATGGTATCTCCGCAGCGCTAACAGTTGTATTCGTAAAATCAACAAAAGAAAAAACCTCAAAAGAAAACATGTGGAAGAATAAAAAAACATTCTCGATGAGAGACTACAGTACATTTTTTTCTAAAGCGATACTGGTCGATTTAATTTACAATGAATATTTAACGGAGCACTATAATATAATGTAAATAAAGTATAAGAGATGTGTGCAGAACACACACAATGCATACGTAATTGTAATGTTAATATTTTCATTTCCCGAGAAACTCTGGAGGTGTTAGTTTTAACGATTTTGCTGTCAGTTAATTAAACAGTCTACGAATTCAGCAAATTAGCGAGTTAAAATTACTGCATGCAAATTACTAAACGTAACTAATTTAAATATATATATATATATACATACAGTAATATACACATTAAAATGTAATTACGTTATAAGAATTTATACGATTATACGCATCTTTTACATCTTTATACTAAAAAGGACACTTTACGTTGCGGTTTCTTCGATCACTGGATGAGGACTTCGAAACTGACATTAAACTCTGAGCCTTCTTAATGCGATGTCTTTGCAGTAATATTACATTACATCACATGCACAGTTAAACCTGCAGTACGACGTTATTAGATTGCCTTTACCGGAATTCGATGCGAGAAACCGGAAACCGATATTACTGGCAGTGCTAATAGTGCCAATACGTCGCTGGAATGAATTTGTCAATTCCGATGTGACGCAGTATAATTACGTAATTGTAATGGTATAAATGTAAGACAGGGTCACATGTTAATTTGAATCTAACGGTTGCAATCGCACGATTAGATGGATATATATTATGAAATCCTTTTTCTATACTTTTATAAATTTGCCTGTGCGCGATTGCGTAACGAAAGCTGAAGAAGGCGCGAGTTAAAATATTGATTTACGCCACTTTTGCGCTCAACCCATTCGGTTGCCGATCGTACGAGGGCATTTCATGCGAGTTTTATGCGACAACGCGGATGTTCGGCGTCACGTGGAATACCGCCGCTGTGAAACCGGATGCAACAGCCTGCCGCAGACTGACCATCCGAGTGAGCTTCCGGTTGTAATTCGATCCGTGACCCGTGAATTAATATTTCATCACGTTGCATATATAGCTTCTCTACGTAAATCGCCGCACTATACGTTCTCGGCGCTCTTCCCCTTTCCCCTAGCGGCGGCGCCTTCCTCATCGGCTGTCGCGCCCAACATTTTATACTTCTCCGCTTTATTCGCTTCCTTTTGTTGGACGTTTTCGCGCGTGAGATCGACGTCGTAAGGTTAACGATCCGTGCTCGCGGAAAATACCGCCATTCGGATTGTAGTCGGGGGGGGCACTTCCGACGGAGAAGAATCGCAGTGAAATTAACGGTTGCTCGCCCCGCTTCACCGTACAATGCAATGCATTAATGGTTCTGGTGCAAAACGCACTTATCACGCTTACTCTCTATAGATCTCAGGGCGTTTACCGTTTCTCCGGCTGCAATGCTGCGTCCATTCTGCCGCTCGACAATTGATCCGAAAACCTCTGTTGTTTTGTTTGATCACGCAATTCGGTCTTTCAAACACTGCACAATCACGAGAAATGTTCAATGTGTCATTAAAATTGACAATTAGATTGTTTAAAAATTAATTAACACAGGCATATTTGAAAAAAACTCAGGTTGTTGAATACTGCAAACGAGCAAAGGTTTATCATCCATTCGAATATTCTACAAGCGTCCACTGTTAAGCCACGAGTGTCCGACTGAAAATAGTCCATGTACCGCGACAGCGTTGCCGATCGGTTACGTTTTACATTTCCTCCTGAAACGAGGGCGATTTTAAGTTCGTCCACGTAACCCCGCAACTTTTGTACGTGCCGGGCTCATGCCCATGAAAATGTCCGCTCTTATTTCCGAAATGTCGCGAGAAATCTCCGGTATACCTCCGCGGAGCGCGAGTCCTCGGAAACCTGATGAGCGAAGTTCGATGACCTATATATCGATGGTACAATACATCTACCGGCAAAGGCACAATGCAACCGCGATACGAAGACCCTCCGTGACTCCGCAGCGACTCGACGAAATCAATACGGCGTATATCGATGATGTGTCAGTACGCAGACCAAACCGCGTCTTGCCTTACAATTGACTCCTGCGCCGAAGCCAAGTGGTCCAAGTGAGGAGTTGAGGCCGAGTTACAAAGGGCTGAGACTATCCCACCAATCTCGGAATTGCTTAGACGTTGGACGGCAGGATGTTCAACGAGAACAGATACAGCGTAACTGCATTATGTTGCGAGACATAGTTTGCGATATTTCGTTATTCAAACAATCTAATATGAAAGCTCTCATACAGTTTCCCAAATTAATAAAAAATCATTTAGAGAACGTCAATAAACGTTCGACAATAATCGACTCGATTGTCTGGTCTGCTGATGCGACAACTCCGAGTCTATTAAGAGATTATTGAAAGTTCTGAAACATTTGTTAAGCCGCTAACTTTTAATGGCTATACACCTACAGTAATTTGAAAAGTGACAAGTTTTAATTGAAAATAATCTTTTTGTTAGCAGAACGAAAACAGAGCCTTACGGCTGAAAGAGCCCGCGTCCCTGGGGCTTTCCGCCAGCGGAAATTCCGGCGGGTACATGGATCCAGACGGCACGGCCATTGTAATGTCATCCGAGCTTCTGCCAGCGCCGACTCCGGATCCGAGAGTGACGTGGAATTACTTTGACGAACAGGGGTGAGTCTGGACAGACATCTTCCTTCGCCATTTATAGCTTTGCAATATGCATCTCGAACATCATTCACTCGCGAGCGTATTTTCCGCGGTGTCGGTCCGCGAACACTCTTAGACACTCTAGAAAGCATTTGCGGATGTAATATTGATTCGGCGAGACTTCCGACTTCAGTTGGCACATCGACATTAATTATTTCGCGGGTTCGGCGCGAATTATCTTCGAGACTCCTTTTGCAACGATCCATTAACTTTCCGCCGATTAGAAACTGCGTGTTGCGCATTGCCGGGATATATCCGCGCGTTATTACTTGCTGTATTACGTTTGGAATGTTTCATTCTCCACGCCATTCGTCAGTACTGCTATCCGCAACGATTACAGTAACCGACGTGCCGTTATAATCGTTATGATAGACGTCGCGTTTTACGGCGCGACCGTTTCGACACACGTGATAAACACACCCAAACCCGAATTCCGAGTTTGACGGGAGATTTCAAAAAGAAATAACGAGAAATTCAGTGGCAATAATTTTCTTTGTGCAACAGGTACGTTTCAAGAGGTGGTCTACGTGCAGGCGAGGACCCATACGCGAGGAATAAATTCAATCAGGAAGCTTCCGACGGTCTTCCGAGCAATCGTGACATCCCCGATACTCGTAGTGCCATGTAAGTAACTTATTACGTAACGTTTGGTGATGTATTGTGTTGTTTTTTTCCCCTCAATTAAACGCTATTAAAATATATCTTGCAAATGCATTTTTAGACACTATTTAATTATTCTTAGATACATATTAAATTATTAAACATATTAATGTTATACATATAAACACGATTATTAGGCACATGATTAAATGTATGTACATAGATGATTACATATATAGCATATATACATGTATTTGTCATTTGACACATTTTGCATGCATGTAACATATATGCATGAATGACTTATTTTTAATATGCACAAAAATACGAAAATACCGTATAAAGTGAGCTTAATAATACATGTAAAATAATAAAAGATGATCGTATTGTCGCTCGTCTCTCACAACCCATCGCAATATTCATTCGCTTCGCATCGTCCATTGACAAAAACGTCGAAGGCGCATCGAAAACGATTGTTCAGAGTTACAAAATTGTCTCGCGGAATAAATTCTCCGCGTCCGTAAAAGGCGACGGGACAAGTTTCCTCCGTTTTAAATAATGCATCGGCCCGTACAGTCGGTGAATACGATTTCGCGTCAGACAGTCTCCCGGCAAGACAAGCACTTCGGGATGAGCGAGAAGACGGCGAGAAGAAATAAGAGGACGCAGAAATTGGCCTGTCGGTCGATCAACCCGTTTATACACTACTATTGGCAGCTACGTGATTCTCTCGGCGGATATTATTCCTCGCAAATGATCGGCAAGATCGCGGCGCGCCATTGGGAATTCATGCGGTATCATGACAAGCTGCCATACATTCAGACCGCCAAACAGCAGTTACTCCGCCGAAGAGGAGCGGCAAGATCTCGCAAATACTGACTAGTAACATATTTCTTCCCGTACAAGTACAATAAGCTAGTCGTACATAGTTATTTGCAGAGAAGAACTTTCATCCAATTATCTTGAAAATTGATAACGAAAGGAAATAAATTATACGTAATTTCTCGTAGCGGATATATATAAAAAAATATCTATTTTATTACAAATTTTATTTTTTATACGTACTTAAGAAAGAATATGTTTTTTACCGTCTTTTTGTTTGTAGGGTACATAATATCAATAAAATAAAAGGAATCCATTTTTGCGTACGCCGCTGCAAATATCTCCGGTAATTTCTTGAAGAGAATCCAGCATCAATCTGACATCCATTTCATCTATCAGATATATCATACTTTCATTTAAAAAAAGATAATAATGCGCAAATATATCACGAAATATTGAACATACGAAAATTCTAAATTCTAAATTTTAGCGTTGCATTGTAAATGTAATATATGTAAGTATACAAATACATAAAAGTGATAATAGCCAAGAATAGCCAAGAAATCTTTCGAACAGGCTCGAGTGTAAAACTAATTGGCAGTTCCTTTGCGATAGAATCGCAAAGTATATACTTGGTGCAATTCTTCCGATCCATCTAGGCAATCTATCTTCTTTGTACGCTGTCTGACACAAGGCACACACATATACACGCGCGTACACATACGCGTCTTTTTATATCATGAAAAATTCAAAGGCGGCATGAAGTTCCAATACATTCAGACCGTAAAGGAGTTTGAGTTTGCTCCCAAGAAAAGCGATAAAGCCGTGATCATAAATTCCTACCGATACACATAGATCGTCGCGGTGCCGTTGTTACATGCCAAACGTGTCAGCCGCCCAAAACGCGTCCATACATGAAGTCTCGCGTGAAACTAGGTGTACACTTCCCATGTTTACGACCATTGTATAATGTTTGCAATGAATATAAATTATAGCCGTCGCGATATCTGCTGTTATACCTTGTCGCTGGAAATCATGCGAGGATCAACTGTTTGTCATAAAGATTAATCGGTTATCTCTAATGTACGTGCTATGTATAGGCGTATAATTATCATGATGTTATTGGCAATAAATCGCGTTTTCATGTATACATTAATTTTCCCATTGCATGCGCTTTATTAAAATGTCATTAGTTAAGTGCAGTGGATATTTATGGCATGTGATTCACATATTTTTACATACATGGTATTCCAGGTCAGGTCAATAAAACTTTATTTTATAGGAAATTTGAATTTGGAACAGAAAAAAGTTCCTATAAACAAGGTTCGAAAGCACTTCTTTAAAAAATTTACTTTTACTAAAACCTTTAGATACTAAAAAAAAAAGGAATAATACAAAGGTTACATTAATGAGACCGTTTAGAAGGAAAACAATTTTATTAAAAGTAAAAGAAAAATAATTTTCAACCAAATATATTAAATATATTCAAAACGATGTCCCTGTTCATTAATACATTTTTGGCATCTACGCAATTTTTACTCACTGCATTGTCCTATAACTTTTTAACGAAGCGTTCCCGGACCTATATGTTTATAAAAACTTTTTTGTTCCAAATTCAATTTCCTGTAAGACCCTGAAATTTCATTGACCTGACCTGAAACACTCTGTATGTCGTATAAAAAATGTAGAGTACTTATCTTATAAAATGCAAAACAAATATCGAAATACGTACACAATTTATTGAGATCTAGCACTGCTTTCTTGTTTATAATCAATGATTATAGTTTAATTATATTGACTACAAAGATTGTAGAACATAGAAAAGCTCTTTTTTATTGCAAATATTATATCGCTGATGTTCTTCGTTCATAAAGTTAGTTTTGTGTGTGTGTGTGTATTATTCTGAAAAACATGTTGAAAAATGTCTCTGCAAATAGATAGAGAAATATTGCGGATCTGGTATATATCACGCTACGAGGTAAATCCCGCTTCAGGAAAATCGACGCAGGAACGTGCTTTGCAGCGCATTCTCTGTGCGAGATGAATTTTTGCGCCTCCTTGCTCGCGCAGACAGACGTGACCTCGCGAAAATGCCAGGAAGTCAAAGCCGGGCGAAGTTACGCGGTTCAGATGAAAAAGAGATGGTACTTTTTGCCTAAGACGAAGGTCATAGAAGGGTTCCGGACTCGAACCTAACGGTTAACCCGCAAGGAAGAAGCGGCGGGACGACGGGAATTGGAGAACTCAATAGAATTGAGTTTGCCAAGTTTTTTATAGGCGTTTCTCGTGCTTAATGGTATTGCGTGCTCTTGTTACCCTACGCCAATATACCGCTAATAAAAACGTAGGGCTGACCTGAGGTGCTCTCGTCGCTTTCATCGAGCGTATACGGAAGTACATTTTAGCTCGAAATTTCATCCCTGCACGGCTGACAATTACATAACGAAATTTGTCAGCAATCGTGTGGGATCAAGGAGAAGATTTACCGAGAAAGATAACTTCGGTTTTATCGTGAAAATACTTTTGTTAAAAATGAACTTTAGATTGATAGAATTTGCAATTGTTCGCGTACAATATAATTATATAGCCAGAATAATTGCAATTTAGTATAATTATTTTGATGTCACGGAATGTTACACGGATGGACATCTCTTGACCAGAGAAACCATAATCCAATTCCACAACTAATTAATTCATTATCAATGCAACTGATATTGAATATATCACAGTACACTTTGCAATATGTAATATTATGCTGTTACTAAACACGCGATTAACATTCTAATTCTCATTATATTAATTGTTAAAATATTTTAGACGTTAATCCCAATTTTGTGTTTATAGCTTATTTTTTATCTTTATATATTATTGTCTTTAAATAATATGAAAATATTTGTTCTTATACCTATGATAAAGATTTCCTAAAAGAGTGATATTTGCGATTTTTTAATGTGTGCTTTCTTTAGAAAAAAATTATTCTTATGCATGTTGGATAGTTAATACGATATTGCAAAGTACTTAAATGTTTTTATTGTGGGCTTTGATATCAAACGATCAATACCGTGTTTATATCAAAAAATCACGTGCTCGGCGAACTTAAAATGTGTCCGCGCTCTTTCTCAAACTATCTCGAAAAACATCCCGAAGAAGCTCTTTGTCTTTGTCGCCAAATCTAATTTTCTGCGTTTCTACATCGTATTTCTTGCGAACGAACATAGTCTACGAAGCCCCCCCAAACGCGAAGTCCTTTCAATGGATATGACTTAGTATCGATATATACGCTTATACCTCCCGGACTATGGACGATATTGCGCAAGATGCCATTAATTTCGCTTCAAAGCGAAAGGGGATTCGTATCAGTTTACGTCCGTTTGATTAATTCTGTATAACGCGCTGTCGGAACAGATTCGGATCCGCGTGAGTTATCGGATACGATCCGTGACGTAAACTTCGTTTTCTCCCTGGCACACGCCGCGCCGGTGCGCGCTGGGCAAGTAATCGCCTTGATTCCTGACGGAGCAACGCGGAGATTCTGTTAGTTGCGTTTCGTGCATGACCTCATGAATCACGAGAGAATCACCGAGAGAGAAGTCTCAGGTCTATTTAAACGGTGACTGATGGGATACGGAATATCCGTCATGGATTTTATAAGTATTAGCTGCCTAGGATTGAAAGTAATCTGCGCCATGCAAAAAGAAACTTTACAAAATTTAGTAGCAAGAATAATATTTGCACTATGTGCATGCATGAATTATTTTTTTTTTTTAAATTACGTGACGCAGGACAAAGGTGTGTACTTATCCGCTCAGATTCGTCGCTTTAGGCAACAATCGAGAAATCCGATAGCCGATATCGGCAACAGTAAATGTTACATGATCTCCGTCGAATTAGATTACAACGCGATCGATTGTACTTATACATCGATTGTCGAGAAGCCGGCTTTGTCGGACTTGATCGCTTTCCGAAAAAAAAGCCGTTCATTAAAACATTTAAAATTCTCGTCAGAAATGTATGTTTGACCGCGGAGAGATCCATTCGATCACGGCGCCTATTGCTACGTGATGCGCAATATTTGACTCCCCGACAATCCTTCAAACATTGAACTACCGCGCGCGCGTATATACGGATCAAACTTACAAAGTCACCATAGTGTTCCGCAAACACGATATTCGTTATCGATTGCCTTCCTCTTGTAATTTCCA